TTTAGATTCCAAGTAAAGCATTTCACTTTTTTTCTTTGAGATGGAAATAAATCACACTTAATAATGTCATCACAACTTATGCCAAGCACTGTTGCTCAGTTACAATTTTGCAATTCTTTTTGGATAATTGCTTCCTCTTAAGGAAGTATACTTCTTTCCAAACCATAGAATGAAATATATCATAATTTAATATATGTATCTTTGTCCAAGAATACAGCCTCGACATTAAACAAAGGATCATTTCCTATCAGCCAGTCACAAATAAATTCTATTTTGCTCTATGGATTTCAATGTGGTTCTTTTTAGGGAGAAGTTTGCTTTCAATAGAAGCTACTTATGTGAGTAAATTATACATTTTTCTCCTACAAAACTAATGAGAAATAAGCTCCTCCTCAGGACTGAAAAAAATGAATGGATAATGCCATAGACAAGTTTTCATAACACAGAAATTTATAGCTACACTGTATTTTTGTAGAATCCATTTGGTAGATAATTTCATGGTTTGCTTATTTGTTTCTTTATCTAAGTGTCTATTTAAATAAATCAAATTAATGAGAACTCTAGCCAAGGAAATCATCCTGTTCCTCCTCTTACTTCTGCCAACACATTGTAGTTTCCAAAATTCCCTGTCATCTGATTCTCTGCTAGAGAAACTTACTCTTTTCCAACACCTTACAGTTTCCCTTTTGTAACAATAATTACTTTTGTAATTTCTTATTCAGTGTCTGTCTTCCCCACTAAACTGAAAATCCATGAGCACAGTAACTGTGTCTGTTTTGTTCATCATTGTGTAGCCTGTGTCTGTGTTGGCGCCTAGCATATAATAGTTGCTCAATAAATATTAATTGAATGAACTAATAGATTCTTAACCTTAGACTCATATTTCTGAGCTTTAATCCAGCCAACTTGGTAAAATGTAGCAGTCAACTTGGTAAAATGTAGCAGTCTGAATTCCCAGCAGCTTCTACCACCCAGCAAACATTGTCTCCAAGCACACAGAATAATGGAATTTTTCTGATTGGTGTTGGGTAAACTCTCTTCGCATACATTGTATAGCTACACTGATGGTAAATCTCCTTCACATATCAAGGGGAGGGTGGCAATGTGGATTACTCCTGACCTTTTCTTACCAGAACCATCCAGTGCAAATAATTATTCAACCCATTCTCTCAAAGGAATATTTACTACCATGTAGGTGGGACACTGTATTGGTTTCCTAGTACTGTTAAAAAAATTATCACAAAGTCAATGGTGTAAAAGAATAGATCACAGCTCTGGAGACCAAAAGCATGCTCCATCCAAAGGCTCTAAGAGGGGCTCCTTCCTTTTCTCTTCTTGCTTCTGGTGTGTTCATTCTTAGGCTTGTGGGTTGCACAACTTCAGTCTCTGCCTTTGTCTTTACATGTGTCTTTACATGGCCTTCTCCTTTTTGTCTTTTCACTTCTGTCTCTTTTAAGGACACCTGTCATTGGATTTGGGACCACTCCTTAATCCAGGATAATCAAGGTTCTTAATTACACCTGCAGATTCCTTTTTTGAGGGGAAGGGGAAAGGCTGTCACCATTCACCCCACTATAGATATAATAGTGAATATAGTCCCTGCCCTGGGAAATTTGAAATCAAATGGGAAAGACATATTATAAAAAGTAATTTCAATAAATTGTGATAGTTTTGTTAGTGAAAATAGTTTAAGAGTCTTGGGGAACAACTGTCTGGAGACCTATCCAAATCTAAACAACCAGAAAAAAAAAAAAGCTTTCCAAATGATGAGATATTCATGGAGGAGTGATTAGGAATTGACCAGATATTAAGAGTTTGGCTTATTCAAGGACCTGGAAGAAATTCAGTATGCTTAGAGAATGCTAAGATGTGCCTGAAGACATATGCTAGGGCCATTTTTACATAGCCTTCATAACAAAGTTAAGGGCCATGTAGTTTATCCAGAAAGGAAGTCAGAGCTCTGTGATGGACCAACACTATTAGGGTAAAAGGCAAAAATGATCCCTGTCAGGACCAAGGTCCTGAGTATTTTTGTTTCATAAGACAAATCTTGTGCTTTCCACTGTTTGATTGCAGTCTGCATGGATAACACAATATCATAGTACAATTGCTCTGAAAGATTGTGACAAGAATATTTCATTTAACATTCTCGTTTTATAGACATGAAGCCAAGTTCAAGCAAGGCTATGATTGTTCTAGGGTAACAAACACAGCTAGATCTAGTTAGTGCTTCTGTTAGTACAAATGGTGGTTTAAAGTACTGGCAATAGCTTGGAGATCGGCAGATTGAAGTTGGATTGCCAGCTTTCCCTTATACAAGATAGGTAACCTTGAGAAAGGAATATAACTGCTCAAACTAGGAATGATAATAGTACTTACCTAACAAGACCACGGTGAAGACAAATTTGATAGTGAATTGAAGCTCTAAGTGTAGCTTCCTATTAAATAATGACGGTTATTCTTGATGAAGATCATAATGTTGATGAGGTTTCTATAATCATCCCAGCCTCACAATCTATAGGATTTTACTCCCAGTATAATAGTGTTTTATTAAATACTCTTATTTTCTAATAAAAGTATTTAACATATTTTATTCTCCACACAGGAGTGTTTAGGGGTTCTAAGTTTAAGAAACAATTATGCAGGAATATGCATTTTTCAAACTGTCATAACTTAAGATTGTTATCCAATTAAAATTTTAATTAAAACAAAGTTTATAAATGTAATAACACTGTGTGAAAGGAGACATATTCGTAGAATTGGCAGTTTAATCAGTCATTATGTATGTCAAACAACATCTTGTTTTATTTATTTTTTTATTTTTTATTTTTTTTTCGAGACAGAGTCTTACTCTGTCACCCAGGCTGGAGTGCAATGGCACGATCTTAGCTCACTGCAACCTCTGCCTCCCAGGTTCAAGTGATTCTCTTGCCTCAGCCTCCTGAGTAGCTGGGATTACAGGTGTGTGCCACCGTGCCCAGCTAATTTTTGTGTTTTTAGTAGAGACAGGGTTTCAACATCTTGGCAAGGCTGGTCTCAAACTCCTAACCTTGTGATCCACCCGCCTCGGCCTGCCAAAGTGCTGGGATTACAGGCGTGAGCCACCGCACCCGTCCAACACCTTGTTTTATAACAAAGTAACCTGATTTTCAAAAGGCACACAATTACAAAATCTCCCTCTGAATTTTGGACTCAATAAATGATAGCTACCTAACTACTATGAAACAATATGCTCCTGATTCAAAATTCTTGAACTAGTCTATATATTTTACAGATACAACAGTTTTTAAGTAAATAATGTTTTTTATGAGTAAACGCCATCTGCTTTATCTTCAAAAAGATAATGTTTTCTAGAACATCTATTTGTTACATTTTTGTTATTCGATGACTTTCAGTGGGAAAATGTGACATTTTAGAGCACAACATTCTTTCCCATGATATCAGTGCTATTTTGCAGATTAGGAAATTCAGTGAAAAACTAATAAAAGACCTTCAGTACATTATTTATTAGATAAGATGCAGCTATTTAACTTGTCTCTGCACAGAGTATGAGCAAAAATTTAACATTGTAGTAGATTGCTTGAAAATGTCTTGATTAAATCATAGTGACTAAAATCTAAGATTTAATAAATTTATCTTACTGAAACTGAATGTAAATGACTTTTGTTTTTATTTATATTTAGATTTCTTTAAAAGTCTCTAAAATGCTGTAAGTGGTTTCTTACTGACTTGGCAATAGTGTTTAAGGCTTAGACATTCTGTAGTAGATACATTAGTTTTATGAGAATGTTATGACTCTGGGTATGAATTTGCACATAGTATACTGCATACTTAATTCCCAGAAAGAGATCTACTTCTGTGGAAGCTGTAAAGTACTCAAGTTTAATAAATGGTTATGGTAGAGACTTCTGCTGTTTGCTTCTCAGTTATATATTTTATTTGATTCAATTTTCTCCAATAACTAACGAGATTAATAGATATTATTTATTTTCAGTAGTCAAAATAAGAAACAAGTTTAATTTAAGGAATATTAAGAGACTGATTGATTGGTTTTTTAAAATATTGATGATTAACTGAATTATTACTACAAGTTATGGTAAAAAAAAAAAAAAAAAAAAAAAAAAGAAACAGATGAGACAAAATCCTGAAAGACTGAATTCTGGTTATAGTTCTATGTGAGCTTGGGCAATTTCTTCAATTTTTCTGTGTTTCTGTTTTCTTGTCTCTATTATTAAGCAATTGTTGTACCCATTAAAATTATATTTGATTAAAGCATTATTAATACAAAAAATTAGAAGTGCTAATAAATCAATTGAAATGATATATGTTAAAACATCCCTGGGAGATTCGTAAAATGTGCAGCTCATGTGATTTTAAGAGACAGCTTTATCAATGAAAGAAAAAACATTTTGTAACCATATGTAATCTGGCCTTTTCTTCAAAAAAGAAAGCTTTTAAATATCATTTTTCTAATTATTGCTAATTAAACATCTAAGCACCCACTATGTATATCCTCGTGCTGTCTACAACTTTAGCATTTGAATTAAGCTCTATGAAATATAAAGAACATCATTCTTAACAGGAATTATACAGTCGTCTTTCTACTCTGTAAAAACAGATATCAAAACAGTCTATATAGCCTGGTCTAGTGGCCGAAGTGTTTAGGAGGAAATACAGTGAGCAATTACGTAACGGAATTCTTTAGCCCATCTGCTGATTTAGTTTTACAGCACATACTTAACCTTAAATAAGGGATACTGGGAATTTATCTACTTTATTGACCTTTTTTTGAAGAAAGAGGAGAGGTTTATGTTGTGGGTTATGGCCCCAGCTCTTCAGCCCCTCTGGGTTTGCTTCATATATGTCAAATACTGAAATAAAGGCCAAATATACTGGGCTTGGCATTTGTTGTTGTATTTTTTAGGATAAACTAAATTGTAAAATGATTCCGATAGTGAAGTGTCACCCAGGGAAATTGTAATATTGTGTCTCTGTTTCAGCTTCTGACATGGCAGCGGAACAAGGACAGATTCTCGTGATAGCCACCGCGGCCGTTGGCGGCTTCACGCTCCTCGTCATCCTCACCTTATTCTTCCTGATCACTGGGAGGTAACTGAAGCACACCAGATTGTTTCCAAATGTGGGAATAACCTCGCCTTTTATACGCTGCATACTCAATGCTTTCAGATACAACAAAGCATACCTGAGGCAGAGACGTGTCCGGGAAAAGTTCAGTCTGACAGTGAACCATCATTAGTCATCTGTGTCAACAGTTTTCTGAATATGGAAAGATCCAAAGATGATAAAAGGCATTTGAAAGCTGTGAATGATGAATTTATATTCAATAAGTTACTCTGGGTTTTTTCTTTACTATAATCAAATGACACCATAAAAATAATTTTCTTGGAAAAACTAATTTAATGGAATACCAGAACAATTCATATAAAAACTCTTTATGAACTTAGTGTTATAGAAATATATTTTTATCAATTAAATATTGAAATTATCTATGTTAGAATTATATTAATTGGTTTTATAAAGCTAATATTTCTATACGTCAGAGTAATATGAATAAAAATATAAAGTAACAGTAAATCTAACATAGCAAAAGACCTAAATTTGGACACTTTACCCATCGGAAACTTAGCTTTCTATTTTTACACAGGTTTGATATAAAAGCATATTAAAATCATTTAATGTCTTTAAAATATATAGTATAATTACCACAAGCCAGGTGCTAATACTACACAGATGTGAATGAAGGTAATATGTACAAAATTATATGAAGGAATAAATGTTATTTTTTTATTTAACCCATGGCATTTGGCCAAGACTTTTGTCAGAAATCACAACATTTTATCTTCAGATCATTCTAACAAGAAGATAAAATATTCTATCTAGATATCAATCGGGGCACAAAAGAAACCTCAACAGATATTTTTTATAGTCTGAAATACACATCTACTGCAGCATTCTACTATCAATATTTAAAACTGCAAAAAGAATGTCAGCCAAACAATACACACCCTTGTAGACTCGAGCTAAAGTCCACCAACCCTGCCAGAAAACCTTGGCACCTCAGAAATAGCTGAACATAATAAATAGGTACCTTCAGTGAACCAAAAACACCATTTGTTTTTAAAACTCTGCTTAGAGACCAATATTTTATTAAAATTTAATCTACTTAAAATGATGGAGGATATACATATATGAAAACTTGTTTACAATTTTGACAGCACACCAAAAGGTATAGAACTTAACAGTTACTTTGCATGTATCTAGTGTGAGTCTCTGACAAAAATGCAACTGCTATTCAATAAGAGTGTATTAGATTTGGCTGTAACTAACTTCCTTTTGTAAGTTTACCAAGAAAGAAAGCAACATGAGTATTCTGATGTGGTCGAGTTAAAAACAATGACTTACTGGTGAAATTAAATGGAAAGAAGGCACTTTATAACTATGTTTACTTAAATTTTTTATGTACATAAACAGATACAGCAATGGTCTTAGAACTAAGAGAGGGTATCTGGGGGCCTCTTGGTTTTGGGGATAAGTAGCTGATAGAATAATTCTGGCTATAGTAACAAGGAAAAAACAGACATGAAAGAATTCAGGAAATAATGATAAATTCATCTTAATAAAAGTACTAATTTGGGTACAACATGTTGCCACCATCAGCCACAGTTGTCCAGCATTCTCTTAGGACTCTTTTCCCTTATTTTTAGGGCAGACCTCTGACAGCTGTTTGCCGTAATCAGAGCTTTGATATAGTTCATCTTTTACAGTGGACAGAAAACAAATTTTGGAGTCTGTAAACCAATTAGCCATTCAGTGGAAGATGAAATATTCTACACTGCAGCTTATCAGACATGGCCTACGAAAATTTCAATCACTACAGGAGTTAACTGGTTATAACAAATAAACAAAATCCCTGTACATCTTGGTGGAAGTCTAAGTTTTCTGAAAAAGATTAAAATTATTCCCATATCATTTAGGACTCTTGCAAAGAGGTGAATTAAAAGACAGTATGGTTAGGGAAGGAGAAAGAAAGAAGAAAAAAGGAAGAAAGAAAGAGAGAGATGGAGGGAAGGAAGGAAGGAAGTTTCAGTGAGGGTTAATGGTTCAAGTTTAAAGAAGAAAGGGAAAAAGGAAAATAAAATTATTTTGTTGTGTGTAAAGTCACAATGACAATTTGGTTAAGTAAAGAAAATCAAATCGCCAGTACTTTAGCATTGCTACATGTTTAGCAATCTTTTTCAGGAAAATGTTAAATAGAAGAATAAACCTTACTGTGTGTTCCTTACCCTCTGTATCATTAATGCTACCCATGCATTTTGAATTGGGGACACTGACATCTTTAGAATACTCTAATTATCATGCAGTTACATACAATTTAAAGACAATTTGCTTTGGAGCCCAGAAAGTTTTATTTGAGTAGAATGTGCTGATTTAAGTCCCATTGTACTTTAAGGAGATCTTAATTCCAAAGACACAAATTATATAATGTAACTATACTGTGATAAATTAGGTATGATGGTTGATTTTGATTCTGAAATAGTTTCATTTTCCATTTTGAAAGTTTCTTTGAAGAAGGGAGTAATTTTTTAAATGTGATTTTATTGAACATCAGTATTATCCACAATAGAAAAAAAATCCTCTGGAAGTTTATTTAAAATGAATTTAATAGTGATTCACTATATTGCAAAATTGGATGCAGTTATATGTATCTTGTAGAACATAAGTTAAGGCCTTGTTTTCTCATAAAGTATTTCAATAAACAATGATTTAAATAGCACATACACATGTGGAAAAGCATTTCATTAAGACATCAGAAAATATTTCAACACATAGATGTGCCAAACACAAAAGAAAACATTTCAATCTTTGCAGGCTAAATAAGTAAGGCCTAATAAACTTGAGTGATGGTCTCAAATATTATCTTTATTTGGGATTCCTGGAACAGACTAGAAATACCACTTAAAAGGAGAATTTAACGATGAAAAAAATGTGTACTAAATTATTTACAGCTTTCAGTTTCTATGTTTGCCAATTTACATGTTATCAGAAATTTCTTTAACATTCCATGCACTGAAGAGAACAATTTCAATTACATAAAATAGAAAAAATATATTTTGAAGTATCACTTAAACACTTTGGTAGAGGAGCATTCATTGGAAAATATTCTATGAAAACTGTAAGATATTTCTGAATAAATACTCATTTTGCCATAGAATTTGAGGCAAAATTCCCATTGAAAGACTGAATTATGTAATACAGATATACTTTGTTTAGCCATTAGAAATTTGATAAGCCATCAAATCATATGGATGTTGGATGTTGAAGAATTTACTCAAATTGAAGAACTCATGGGAGCATGGTTATCCAGAGGGAGGACAGAACATGCCTCAAATTCCAAATAATAAAAACTAAAACTGTTGAACCATGCTGCTGTTTAGCAATGAAAATGGAAGACATTTGTATACATTTCTGAAATTCTGATTCAAAACATTTTTTTTATTTTGACTTTTACTTATTTATTTATTTGTTTATTTGCCAACTCTAGCTATTAGCAGTCATATAAAGGATGGGTAGGGGCAGATTATTAAATATTTTCTAAGACTCCTTTCCTTTGAATCCATCTACCTGACATTTCTCAAGGGCTAATTTCAATATACAGAAGAAACCTTCTACAGAATATTTTGATACTATATATTTTTAAAGTGGTCTTTATGACAAGAACTTTGTTCATAGATGATATGTATTTTAATTGGTTTTGGTTTGTATCCACCATACTTCCTAAAACGAGTTTCTTTTTATCTTTTTAAAAGATGTCAATGGTACATAAAAGCCAAGATGAAGTCAGAAGAGAAGAGAAGAAACCACTTACAGAATGGGCATTGTAAGTAGCACAGTGACTTTCTTCCGTTATGTTTACTGTTCCCGCACTTCAGAAGTTTATTCAAACTGTATCTATTGAGTTGAGAAAAAACGGAAAAAGAAAACACTTCCAGCCTTTCAGCATTAACATTTTCATCAGGTTTCCAGGTTTGTTGGTGAAAGTCGCACCTGCTTCTCATTAAATAACTTTACCTTGTTCCTAATTCTGCTTGCTGGAAAACAGACTGAATTTTCTAGAAATAATAGTTGACTGACTTTATCAAGTTATTTACCACTCACAGTGGCTTCAGAACATGAGTTGGTTTTATCTAGCGGAGCATTAGACATAGAAATAAATATTAAGGAATCTTTATTCCTTCTTGTACAGACTTTGAAATATATAACAAATCAATTTACAATTCATTAACACTAAAAAAGAATATCAGCTCTTTAACTCTTAGAATATGTATGAAATCCTTGAGCTGACTACAAGGTTATATTCATTTGAGAGATCTTTTCCCAAGCAACCTATAATTACCACTATAGTTGGTTTGATAATTGACAGCCTCTCCTCCTCAACACCCACCTCCACCTCCAGTTCCAAATTGCAAGCTACTTTATCAAGACAGTTTTTCTATTGTGAGACACTGAATTAACAAGAAAGGGATGTTCTGTAATTAACCACAGTATAGAGATAATGTGTGAGGCAACTTAACTGCTTAAATTTCTCTTTTCTTTCGAACTGAGCAAAAGATAATAAAGGACTTTTCAATCTATACCACCCTCCAGGAGAGGGAAAGGGTTTAAGTGAGGAGCGTTTAGGCAGTAAGTCTGAGTCTCACTGCAATGGCACAGCTGAGAGAACTGATGTCTGGCAAGGCCTAACCTGGAAAGGCTGTAAACAGATTGCAGAAACCTGGATCCAGACACCTGGGCTGTTGACTTATGCTGGGCAACGTTCAGATTCACTGCAGGACATTTAGTACTGATATGCAGAGGGAAAAGGCGCTCCATTTATTATCTGTTTTCCAAGAAGCAGGTTAGCATAAACCAAACCAGATGGGCCCGGCACGAAGCAATGAAAATAACTCGAGCCAGCCAAGGAGGTAGAAGAAACTTCACAAACTGATGTTTAAGACTGCGATAAGTTAAATTAGTAACCAGGTGTTCAAAGTTCAAATTGTTTGGTTGGGTTTTTTTTTCCTCTTTACTATACCTATCATGTTTGTAAGAAAAAAAAATGTGATATTAACTGATCTTATTCTTTAGAAATGTGTACCACCTTAAGTAATTGAATAGTTTAATAGTGAAAACCACGTATGAGTTAACAAACGATGCTTGTGATCTGTGGCTAACATAACATTATCAATATGACCACATCTGATTAGATACCACTATTAATTAGTGGTAGTGGCTACTAGGTTTGAGGTTATAGAACTCAGTCTGAAATCACAAATTCTACTAAGTTATAAAAATATCATATGGAATATAAAAGAGCTACAGACTATCTATTCTCCTTTTCTCCAATGTAAACTGAGAAGTCAAGAAAAGCATGGCATGTGAAAATTAGTGTCAGGTCTAGGTATACCTGGAAATATGCTTTTCTTGTGCTATTTTGAGAAAAACTAATTTTCTCACGGTACATATGTAGCACTAAGAAGACAGAAGACAAAATGTAAATATAGGCACCGGGCATAGAAGGACTAATGAAGCAAATTGCTGCTAAAACTGGGCATTTCAGCACCTCCTCCAAACTGAAGTACCTGTTGTTTGTTTTCTTTTAATGTTTCCTCGTTTTGCAAGGGCACGTTTCTAAGGAGATTCAAACAACAGTCAACACTGGGTATTATATGGATTTCCAAATCTAAGAAGCAACAAAACCAAATACCACCCACTCTGCCAAAAATTTCACATTGGTCATTTAACTCCCTACTAGTTTGTATTCAGTAAAGGCTCATTGCATGATTATTGCATGTAAAACCATACCTAAGATATTGGAAAGATAGATATATAAGAAATGACCCCCTGTCTAGTGATCTAAAATGGAAAATGGAAATTAATGGGCCAGCTTGGTGGCTTGTGCCTGTAGTCCCACCTACTCAGGAGGCTGAGGCAGGAGGATCACTTGAGCTCAGGAATTCAAGGCCAGCCTGGATGACATAGCAAGATACCATTTCTCTAACAAAAAGAAGATAAATAAATAAATGAGCCAAACTGAGGGATATTCATAGAGGCAGTCTATGACTTCTTCAGATACTCACAAATGAACATACAGCCACACATTCATGTTTTCCAGGCGTCCCTTGTCATCATCCTACTTGCCTGTAGGCTGGGAGCCCACCATTCCCACCAATAAAGCTGAACAGATGTACAACCAATCACCAGATTTTGTCCTTTGACCCCCATTTTCCCACCAGGTTATACAAGCTGATCCTTTTCAGGACTATTGCAGTCAGGCCACAGAAGCCACTGCAAGAATAAAGGGAATGTTCTCTATCCCTACTGGCCTTTCTTGTTTGTATGCCACAGAGTCAGTTCTTTACTGCTTGAGAGTTTCTGAAAAAGGGGAGACCACAGGAATAGGGAATGAGTTCATAAAACCTGGCGCCACAGAGTACAAAGCGTTCAGGAGGGACCCTAATGGGCTTGTTTTGGAGGGAGGTTTATCCCCCATTTTCCCCACTCCCTGAGCTAGAGCACATGTGGAATGTATTGGAAGTTTAGTGAATGAGTCAGCTGATTAAACATTTTACAGAAATATGTGACATATGCTTTTTGGAACCTGTCAGCTCACTTTCTAGGAATCCACCAGGTCACTCTGCATTAACAGTGAGGTAAGTAAATTTTTGACCCTCGTAGTTAATATGGGCAGAGGGTGGGACTGGAAGAAAAGAGAGAGTTTAAGTTGTTCATAAGACTATTTCAGTATGTCATTCCCCATTTTAAATGTTCACAAGACGTAGACTACTGAGATACTAACTAAATCAATCTTTTTGTTCTTGTTGCAGTGCGCTTCCCAGGAATTAAAACTTACATTGATCCGGATACATATGAAGACCCATCCCTAGCAGTCCATGAATTTGCAAAGGAGATTGATCCCTCAAGAATTCGCATTGAGAGAGTCATTGGGGCAGGTACTGTCAAATCTACACTTCTGAACAAAAGGTTCCTTAATTGTTCTGTAACTGATTTATCAACATATTATCTTAAATCTTAGGTTTTAGTCATTGAAAAGTTTTAGCAAGAGAGAAGGAAAGTTATCTTGTATTTATTTGTTGTGTTTTAAGTATACTAAGTGTTCATCTTGTTGCCAATGAGAAAATTCACAAAAGTTACTTTTAATGTTCTATAGTCCTTTTTCATAGTGAGGATAAATTACAATGAAACTAGAGTTTTCAGGAGTTTGTCATAAGGTTATAGATTTACTGAAGCCCCAGCATCTATAGACATTTACTGTAATCAAAATAGTATTTATGATGATGACCATGTGCCTCTGCGAGACGCAGAAATGTCACCACAGATAAAATTTGGCTCAATGCAGTTTTATGTCATTTTAATGGAAATTAATAATTCTCCCTATGTAGAATTTTCCAATACTTAGGACACTTTATTATTCAACTATTCTGAATAAATAAAAATTTCTTGCAAATCACCCCACAGGAATTTATGCTACACATTAGTTAGGGCAGAGGCTAAGCCAATGTAACAAAGAGACTCCAGAACACAGATTTAGTCCTCTTTCAGATGCTTGACCCAAGGTGAATAGTCTCATTCAGGGGGTCTTGCAAGTCCCAAGTTCCTTCTGTTCTTGGCTCTGCCTTCCCCTAGCATGTCATCCTCCTCTAAATGACCAAAGCTAGGTCACCAGTACATCTGCCTTCCTGCCTGTGAGAGGGAAAAGGAAATAGTTCAATCTCTCTGGTTTGTCTTTAAGGCAATAACCTGAAACTGCCAAACAGAGGATTCACAGCTCAGTGGCCCACATAACAATAACATGGACACACTTAGGTGCTAGAGAGTTTGGAATTTGAATTGTTGATGGCTGCCATACGCATCTCAAAGCATACATGTATGTGGAGAGGCTGTTTTCCTAAAAGAGAGAAGGGAGATTGGATCTTGATGGGGAATATAGGTCTTCTCTAGATGCTGGAAATCTGTTTAATCCTTTGAAAGAGCAGAACAGCTGCAAGCATGGCCCTTCCAGCCAGGTGCCACGTCTTTACAAAGGCCGAACGAAAGCAGCTGATGATCCTCTGTCTCTTTCAAATCCCCTTTTCTTTCACCCAGAAGGACAAACTACATACTTGGCAGGGCCCAGAACACACTGAAAAATACAGAATCTCTTGTTGAAAATTTGTTAGGAATTTCAAGAAAGTGACAACAGAGAATTAAGTCAACTACAGGGTTTCCCGGGTACACAGAGAAGTAGAACTACCTCAAGAATTTCAGGCACATTTGCAGAGAGTTCTTCCTGGTTTCACTCCATTCCCTATGTACAGCGGATCACCTTGTCTCCTGCATGGCTGGGTCTCCTTCTGAAAGCTGCCACAGAGGCCTTTATGTTCATAATCTTTATGTTCTCGGCCAAAGAAGCTGCCTTATCAGAAAGGCTAAGAACCTGAAATGGAACCAGATTCTCTATCTTCTGCTGAGCAAACAGCACATGAGCAGGAATAATTGAGAGGAGTGATTGAATTATATTCATCTGGCTTTGGAGTTTGTTTTCTTAAGACAGCAAAGGGGTAGAGAAGAGAGGAGGCTGAATAATCTCCATTGCACACGTTTGGCTTTCTTCTTCTTGCCCCTGAGAAAAACCGATGTCTTTTTATACTGCCTGTTCAATACTCATGTAGTTACAGTAGAAGCATTTTCTGTTTTAGCCCTTTGTGCTACTACATAACTAAATGTCAGTGTCTGAATCATAATATTGAGAGGTAAAATCAAGTATCTGAAGTATAAACAATAGTAAGAAATTAAACGTTTCTTTCATTTTTGGATTTTTTTCAACTAAAATATAAATTTTTCTCCTAAGCAAGTATAATGGATACTGCAAAAGTCAAAAATAATGACTAAAGAGATTGTTTTAATATCAGTTTTCTACCTGCTGTGCCCAAACTCTAAGAAGTCATAATGAGGTTTATCTCATTTGGCAAAGACGGACTATCTAAACCATGTAGTTACTTCTGTAGATTGATGTCTCTTTTTAAATCTTTATTCATCTTTGATGGTTTCAGCTTTCAAATAATATGCTAAGAGTCCTTTTACTAACTATATTGAGAAAAATCACGAAAATGAAACTGATGTGTGAAACAAAAGTATTATAACCTAACTTGCCTCTTTGTGCCCCTGGCCAGCACTACTCGGGTAATTTATTCCTTTAGATCACTGTTTTAGCCCTTTTTGCGCTGCTGTAATAGAATGCCTCACACTGGGTAATTTTTGGCTAAAGGTTCTGGCGGCTGAAGTCAAGTTCGAGGGGCCGCATCTGGTGGGGGTCTTCCTGCTGCATCGTAACATGGTGGAAAGCATCACATGAGTGAGGAGAGGAAAAGGGGACTGAGCTCCCCCTTTTATAATGAGCCTACCACATTAACATAGTCATGAAGGCTGAGCCCTCATGATCTAATTACCTCTTCAATGTCCCACCTCTAAACACTGTTGTATTAAAGATTAAGTTTCCAATATGTGCCCTTCAGGAGACACAGTCAAGTCATAGCAGTCATGTCTCTAAAACTTTATTTTTGTGATGCGTGAAGTGTGAACGTTTCCCATAGCAGCAGTGTGGACAAAACGCTGTTCAAATTGAAGAAGAACCAGTCGTTATGTGACATCTGTGCACCACTGGTTACACTTCCAATTTGTAACTGTAAATACTTTGTTATATTGTCTTGTGGCCTTTATTTCTTTCCCCAGCTGTTAATTCTTTCTTCTCAGACTCTATTCCTTCGTCATCTTTGTCCATTAGGTAGCCCCCTTGGAAATGTAAATTAAATGGCCTAAGTGGTAGTGTAGATGCTGGACAGAGTTGAAGTGGGGTGGAGAAGATGTGAGAGGCCAGATACCAGCTCCTGACAACAGTCAAGTGCGGGATATTCAGGCAGAATCAATGCCTTGACAGTAGGAAGAGCAAAAAGTACTTAGATTCACAGCTCATTGCTGAGGAAAAATATACCAAACCTCCATCTCTTAGAGATGCAAGACATGCATGAAAAGCAGCAGTTAAGATTACTTTTCAGATTTCTAGTTGGAAAAGCACAATATAAAATCATTAAATATTTCTTAAATGAGTTATCAAAAATAAATGTAAAACAGCCACATTAACATTTTCGCAAAAAGCATCATATCACACCTAACCCATCACATTTCTTAACACATTCACTGAACAATGTTTGCTAATATTTACTTAAAAAAGATAATGTGCCACTTAATCTTTTCATATTAAATCACTATACTTATTAGAGATATATATATTCACACTGTCTTCCTAAATCTTTGTCCTGAGATTTTAAACTAGTAGCCATCAAAATACTGTACAACTAACCCATAAAAATTTAATTTTTCTGTACATATATCCTTAACATTCCCCATTTTTCCCTGTAAATTTCACTGTTTTTTATGAATTTTCTAGGGTACTTTTTTGTGTGTATATATCAATATTCTATTTAACAGTGGCAGCTTATCTTTGTTCATCAGTATAGGCCTCAATTTCCATGAAAATTCACATTTCCATTTAAATAAAGTGAACGACTCTGTTGCATAGGAGACTATCAAGATCATCTCTCTCCTTTGACTTTTTTGCATTATAAAATGAAATTCTGCGGGCAGAGGACTGTAAAACAGAAATTCTCAGGCTAAAAGAGCCAAGTCAGATTAGGGGAGAATCATTATTTTATACATATCTTGCAAGATAATGAGAAAACTGGTAAACAATTTTAATCATGGTCTGGAAAAGGTCATTGAGAGGCTGTCCCTCTTTGAGGGCACTACTGAATCTAAACCAGTGGAAGAAAAGCTTGCCCAGCAGAGTATAATTTTGAAACATTATTCCATTGAAAAAAATCATTCTTGTGTCTCTAAGCCCATAGGGCACCTCTTAAATGTGACCTTCCCTCTTGCCCTGGTCTCAACGGAAATACATAATATCTTCCTGTCATTCATATTCTATCCCTTTATCTACACAAAACTCATTACTGCCTCCACTATCAGCCTCTTCTGGCTTAGTGTCACCAAACTTTCTCTCTTCCTAGAATTCTTCAGGAGGTTTTAACTGTTGGTTTCTCAGCAGTTATATGCAGGTAAAAGAAAGTCAAAAGGACAACAAAAAGCATATAAAAAGTGAGTGTCAGCCTCCCTTTTATTCAGCCTAGTATTTCAGTTCTGTTATTCCATCTTGTTTGAAGTCACATTTCCCCTTGATGCTCTACAAGGCATACTGTTCACTTCGTGTGCCTCTCCTGATTCCCCTGCCACCCTCATACCAGCAGGCCTCTTTTTTTCGCCCTAGGAAAAAAAAAATACATACACACAAACACACACACACACACACACATATTTGATTGTTTGTTTAGACAAGTCTCGCTCTGTTGCCCAGGCTGGAGTGCAGTGGTGACATCTTGGCTCACTGCAACCTCTGCCTCCAGGGTTCAAGCAATTCTCTACCTCAGCCTGCCGAGTAGCTGGGATTACAGGCACCCACCATTAGATTCAGCTAATTTTTGTATTTTTAGTAGAGACAGGGTTTTGCCATCTTGGCCAGGCTGGTCTTGAACTCCTGATCTACCCACAGCCTCCCAAAGTGCTGGGATTATAGGCGTGAGCCACCTCGACCGGCCATTATTTTTTAGTTATCTTAAGGAAACTGTATTTTTGGCTGGGTGCAGTGGCTCACGCCTGTAATCCCAGCACTTTAGGAGGCCAAGGTGGATGGATCACCTTAGGTCAGGAGTTTGAGGTCAGCCTGGCCAACATGGCAAAACCCCGTCTCTACTAAAAAATACAAAAATCAGCTGGGCACGTAAGGGGCACCTGTAATCCCAGATCCTCGGGAGGCTGAGCGAGGAGAATCACTTGAATCTCGGAGGTGGAGGTTGCAATGAGCCAAAATTGTGCCATTGCGCTTCAGCCGGGGAGACAG